TTCTTTTAGTGGTTTTTATATAATGTTTGAAGTAAGTTTCACTAAGCCTTGATAGCTTACTAACCGATATGGGAATTTTTATTTCTGCTCCAGTTCAGCTCCATTGTGACAATGTTTCGGCATCATATATGGTGGTCAATCCTATCCAACATGATCGTAGCAAACATATCAAGATTGATTATCACTTTGTTCGTGAACGAATGGCTCATGGGGACCTCATAGTCAAATATGTTTCTACTGAGTATCAACTTGCAGATATTTTCATTAAAAGTTTATCTAGTCGGCGTTTTGAGTTTGTACGATCCAACCCGCACGTTATTTTATCCGCACAGATTGAGGGGTTAATAACCTATACTTGTACGGCATATTTGTAATTATTTTAAACTGTTATTATATATATGAGGTTAAGGCTCCTCTAAGGGTAAGCTGTTTATTCCACCAAATACTACCTTTCATAATTTTAATTTGGAAAAATATACACTAATAATCTCATCTATTACCGGTCTTCCATTATTAATCCCTCCCATGCGTAATTCGAGATTAATACGTATTAAAGGGGTAACCTTCCACAAACACTCTCAGTGCATTGGCAACCGGTTGAACTGGTAAAACTTAAAATTGGCTACCTAACAACGGTCTGACTATTAGGTCAATTGAAGACAAAGGATAGGGAAAGAAAGTTGTGACCATTACAGACTGAGGAACGAAGACGAGTTGAAGAAAGGTTATACGTCCACGGAAAGAAGAATGGTAAATTGCTTTTACTATTATCATGTCTTCGTTTTTGTCTTTGTTTCTTTGTTCGTACAGTTGTGGTTGATGTTAATTTTTGTTCTTGGAACTGAGTGTGTTCGTGGGTACTGTTTTTTAGCGTTTACTTGTTAAACTAAATTTCATTCGTATATTGTTTTGACTGATATTGTTGTTATGTTTTTGTCTGATTTTCACTTTTAGGATTTAGGGGAAACTCAGGTTAAACTGCGTATATGGCATGGGGGAGTATTTAAAAAGGACAGTAGGAGTAGACTACAATACCTGGGAGGTACTTTCAGAATTTTTGATGTAGATACAGACGAACTATGTTGGTTTTGGTTAGAAGGGCTAGCTAAGAAATGTGGGGATTATTGTACTATTGATGCCATTTACTACATGCTACCTAATCTAAGCTATGAAGAGGGATTGAGAAGGGCATATCATGATGATCAAGTGAGGGATATGATAGATGTAGTCTTAAAGACAAAATGCGTTGACTGTTATGTCATTCATGGAATTGATGTGCCAAATTTAATTGAAGCAGTTGAATATGTGGCACAAAGTAAATGTGCAGAGATAATGTCATCCAATCAGAAGAAGAAACTTAGTCCTAGGGGAGGATCTAAGGTGAAGGGTATTGTTAGAGATGAAGAAACTGCTGCAGTCCTAAACAATGACAAACAGGCTAATGTGGGTTCATGTGGGTACTTCACAACCTCAGACCACTGCTCCAGATCCATTTCAGGCTGACAGGCCCCACAGCCCATTTACATGGGATGAAGAAGAAGACTCAGATGATCCAGAGTACACTCCTGCAAGTGAAGAAGGTGACATAAATGGTGACAATTCTGATTTCCAAGGTGATACTTCAGAAGAGGGAGACCTAGAGAACATACAAGAGGGTCTGGTTGGGTCAGATCATGATACCAGTGATGAAGAGTATCAAAAGGTTAGGGATCAAGTTAAGGGGTGGAATGCCAAGATATTAGGGATTGCAGCTGCTCTTCAAAAAGAAGCTGGTGAGGGTAAAATGCCAGGGCAAAATCAGAGATCTAATAAGGCAAGGGTGCAAGAAGGTATAGAGGAAGACTCTGTCTTTATTAGTGACTATGAAGACACAGAAGAAGAAACTTTAACACCATATGAAGATGAAGAACAATATGAATTGAAAAAAAGGAGGGAAAGGATTCCAATTGTTAATGAACATACTGACTACAAAATACATGAGTTGAAAGTAGGAACCAAATTTGAGAGTAGAGTGAAATTTAGATATGATGTGGTTAGATTTGCAGTAGCCCAAGGCAGAAATCTGATGTTCAGTGTTAGTGATAAGAAAAGGCAACAAAGGTTAGGTGCAATATGTGTACCCAGGTGTCCCTTCAGGATATATGCTAGTTGGGACAGTAGCAGAGGGTGTTTTGTGGTCAAATCAGTTGTAGGGGAGCTCAGGTGTCTCAGAAACATGGAATCAAGCAAACAACTGAAATCTTCATGGGTTGCTAAGCAATTTCTGGAAGTTTTTAAATCAAGACCCCATTGGCCAGCTAAGAAAATCATTGAAACCATACGCAGAGCATATAGAGTGGTTGTTAAGAGGAACTTTGTTTACAAAGTTAAGTACATTGCCCATAGGAAACTTCATGGTAGTATGAAGGACCACTACAACAAACTTGGGAGGTATCTTGAGGCCTTGTCACTTGCCAGTCCTACCAGCCATTTCCAGCTTCAAGTCAATCCTGAATTAAGAGTGTTTCCACCAGTTTTTCAGAAACTTTTTGTGTGTTTTGATAGTGTTAAGCAAGGTTGGCTAGAAGGGTGTAGAAAGGTGTTGTGTGTGGATGGGTGTTTCTTGAAAACATTTTTGGGTGGAGTCTTACTTTCTGCAGTTGGAAGAGATGCAAATGAGCAGATGTATCCCCTTGTCTGGGTTGTGATTGAAGGGGAAAATAATGATAGCTGGGAATGGTTCTTCATTCACCTAAATAGAGCAATAGGTGAAACATGTGGTTCTGAGCTTACTATAATCTCTTATGAACATTAGGTAATTTTCTTTCCCTTTTACTATTTGACCATTGTGTTTTATTGTAATTTTGTATACTTTAGTGACTATGTTCTTTATAAGATTGATCTGAGGTTACATTGTTCATTGGCTGATAGGTTATTTTGAATGGAGTTCAGAAAGTGCTTCCTAGAGCAGAACACAGACATTGTGCAAGGCACATCTATGCCAACTAGCACAAAAACCATAAAGGGGATGAGCTTAAGATGGCTTTCTGGAAAGTCGTGAAGGCTTATAATCAAGCTGATTATGATGATGCTTTAAGGGAATTGGAGAATCTGAGCCCATTAGCCTCCCAGTCTTTCAAAGCATATGACCCAACCAAATTCTGCAGGGCCTTTATTAAAACAAATACCAAATGTGAGGTAATTGTCAACAATATGGCTGAGACATTCAATGGTTACATTCTGAATGCTAGAACAAAGCATTTAATATTCATGATGGAAGATATTAGGACAGCTTTAATGCAAAGGATTGTTCAGAAAAGGCACCAAATGGAAGTCAGTCACCACATTATATGTCCTAGGATTCAAGCAAAGCTAGAAAAAGAAAAGGAAGAAGCAGCCAATTGTGCAGCAATGCCTTCATCTCTCATGGTCTTCCAAGTCAACCATAGAATGGATAGTATGACCGTTGATCTTATCTCAAAGACTTGCACATGTAGGAAATGGGAATTGACTGGAGTCCCTTGTTGTCATTCTGTAGCTTGCATGTTCTTTCTTCACCATGCCCCTGAAGACTATGTGGATAAGTATTATAAGAAGGAGACCTACATGAAGATATAGAGTGGATGTATCCCTCTGTGCCCTGGTGAAAGGCACTGGCCAAGAAAAGAGGCTGAATTGGATCCTCCACCTATCAAAATTGGGCCTGGAAGACCAAGGAAAAATAGGAGAAAGGACCCTCATGAAGATCCAAAGAAACCTGGTAAGTTAACAAAGCATGGATTACAAATGTGTTGCAGCATATGTAAGTCCACTCAACACAACAACAGGAAATGCCCTGACAAAGACAAAAGTACAACCTCAAGTGTTTCAAATCAACCTAAAAGACAAAGGGGGCGACCTAGGAAGAATGCACAACCTTCTACAGAGGCTGCCAGTCAAACTGAGTATGCAAATGCCACTGCCCAGCCTTCACAAATTGGGAGAGGTGGGAGGCTGATAATGAGAGGTAGGGGCAGAGAGGGGTCCAAAGGGAGAGGCAATCAGGTATGCATAATGCATTTTAGTGTATATTTGTTTAGTAATGTTATATTTATTGTGTTTATGAATTGGATGCAGGTTCCTCAAGGATTTGGTGTGTTCGTTGATGGTCAGGGAAACACCATTCTTAATGTGAGACTTAATGTCCATATCCCTTTTTCAATTATTATAATGGTGTGCTCCTAAATGAAAATCATTGGCCTTTTTTTGTAGTCACCTGGTCAAGTAGGAGGTCCCAGACTGCTTTCAGGGGATGGATATGCTCCATCAAGCAATGGCAGTGCATCAGTGTGAAAGAATGTCGTGTCATCAATGATGTCTAATGACTTTATGTTAAAACTCTGTCAATTTTGTTGTGTAATGGATTTCTTAGTTTGGATGTATTTTGGATGTTGTTAATCTGCCTTTGATGTACTGGATGATGTTGTGCTTATATTTCAGAATTCTGTTGTTGTTAAACTTTTCAATTGACTTGTGATGATGAAGTTATGGTATTTTAAGTTAATGGAAGCTTATGTTCGGGTGAAACAAAGGTTATCTTTACTTTGACTTTGTATTTCAAGTTACTGGAAGCTTGTTCTTAAAGCTTTTGTTTACTTTGAGGGTGTGAAATGATTTGAAATGGTTTAATTTGAAGACTTTGGAGGTTATGTTAACTTTGCAAACACTATTTTGAGCTTTTCAATAGTTTTCAAGACTTTGGAGTGTATTAAAGACTTTGGAGTGTATAGTTAAGTTTTGAGGTTGGGACTGTATTAAAGACTTTGGAGTGTATGGTTCAGTTTTGGAGTTTGGAGTGTATTGAAGGTTTAAATGTGTATTGTTGTTAACTTACTGCTATTCTAAAGACTTTGGATTGTATGGTTCAGTTTTGAAATGGTTCCTTTTAATTTTCAGAATAACAGAATAATTGGTTCAGAATACTTTGGAGTGTACTTTAAACCATGTTCAAATGATCTTAACAGAATAACAAAACTTTAAGAGAAGTTCATCATACACATTAGAAGATCCAATATTACATCAATTTAACAGAAGGTACATTACTTCAAATAAGAAGTAATTACATCACAAGATCCAATAATATTACATCAATTTAGCAGAAGGTGAACATCCCTAATTCCAAGATCCAATATTACATCACTTTAACATTACATGGTACATTACACCAAATAAGAAAGAATCCCAAAAACTATCCAAGATGCTATTATAACCATAACAACATATGCTTTTCCTCTAGCTGTTTTGGAAGCCACCATCCGAGAATCAGCAACTTCTACAGCCAACCTCTTGTTCTTCATCTTCAACTTGAGTACTCTTTCTTCCAATAACTTCTTCTCTGCCAACAACTGCTCAATTAGTAGATCTTTATCTTTCACTATTTGGACATCATATTTCACATCATTGTCCTCACACCATTCAAAGAAACGACAATCTGCATTCTACAATCAAAACGACATATTGCACATCATTGTCATCATTGTCATTACAATCTGCATTCTACTCAAAATGTTTAGTACTATTTCAAGTCAAAATGACTTATGACAGAAAGAGTCATCATTAAAACTAAACAGTTCAACCAAATCAACATAAAGAATCAGCACCTACCTAATATGTCAAAGAAAATCAACATAAACCCTAATGTTTAAAAATAATTCAACTAATATTTTCATCCAATGAAAACTAATGAAAAGTTTATAAAGCAGAGATACTTACAAGCCATAGCGAGCAGCCATAAAACTTTCTTCCAATGTTTGGACCGCTCTTTCCCGTTCGCAATTTCGGCTCTATCTTGTGATGGCAAGTACGCACAACCTCCTATTCGAGTTGCAGGTCCAAGAAGATGAACCACTCACTGAATTCATGATTGTTCAGTACTCAAGAAGTTAAAGATTTAACCTTACTCTTCCCTTGCTATTCGTTCTCTTCCTTCGTCTTCTCGCGCAGGTGGTCGCGGAATTTGGGATGCAAGAGCTCGGTTGGGCTTGGCCTCTGATTTTGGGATAAGAGGGAGAGGATAATCACGTGTGGGTCACGTGATTCTTAATTACCGGTCAAGACGGGTTCTTCGGGTTAGTAGAGTGTTTGTGGAAGGTTACCCCTTTAATACATATTAATCTAGAATTACGCATGAGAGGGATTAATAATGGAAGACCGGTAATATGTGGGATTATTAGTGTGAATTTTTCCTTTTAATTTTTAAGTGACATGAAACTTCTAACTCCAATTTTTGCAATTTAATTACATTGTTTGTTCCAAAGCACTATACGAAATCTTTCTTGAATATATCAAATGAACAATCACATATACAAATCAATAATATCATCAATCTCCCGTTGAATTGCATGCTCCATTCACCTTTGCACACGATGCTAAGATTTTTCAACCAGATATAATTGGCATTATATTCATGAAACACAGAGTGCTCATTGAATTTGATTTCAATGCAGAGTATATGTATCCTTATTGTGCGTGCAGGGCTCTTTGTGAACGAGGAAGTGCCTTATTATTAGTACTTCCACGTATTTCCTTTTCTTCACCAATATCTCTTCCCTTTGTTGACACTGACCTTGAAACATCCTCATGAACTATAGTTCTTCTTCGTCTCCGATTCTCTTCCGTTGCCTTGTGTGGCCGCTGATCATCTGAATCCAACTTCAGATTATTTCTAAGTCCATTAAAATCTCCTTTGGGTGTTGAAAGTTGACTGGGCGTGGTGGTTCTAGCGGTACCCCTTTCCTGCTCAAAGTAGAGTACTTGCACTACGGTTCTCAATGGCAGCCGCTCATTCCTCACCGCCTGCGCACATACTTCTGGTGATAGTTTACGGCAGTCCAGAATACGGCAGAGCAGCTTCCTGTCGGCTTTGCTTAGATTGGGATGCACCTGCGAGATGGAATACCCTTCAGTTGTGAAAATAGTATACTATGTTAATGATTTAGATGAAAAGCATGGGTAGGATGGATCAAATGAATAAATGATATCTTAACTATTCATATTGTTATGTTTTGATACTTTAACTCTTTAATAACTCAAATCAGTACCATAAGTATACCTTAATGTTTAAATTTAGAATATTATTCAAATTTGGGGTAAAAAAATATGTATAATCGAAATTCCATGTGTAGAGTGATGACGTGGAAAAAAATAAAGTGAAATTGACTTTACGAATAGGATACCGGCCCCCAAGTATATAATTTTTTGCTAGAAATTTGAATAATATTGGGAATTGAAAGATTTATGAATAATATTATGACTAAAATAAAAGTTTTTACAAAATTGTAATTAATGACTAAAGTAGTAATTAAATCATACTACGTAGTATCTTATGTTCAATTTTTAAACCTAAGTTACCATGACACTACATTATAGTAACTATTAGTCATATTTAGGTAAATAAGTTTTATTTTAGTACTACGTAATATTTAAAAAAAAACTAAAAGTTAAAGTACCAAAACGCAATAATACCAATAACTAAGGTATCATTCATAGATTTTACCCGTGGAAAGTCATTTGGGAGATTTTACTACAAATAGTTCTTTGTCCAAGTCTACATATTTAGTTTCATCTAAGAATGTTTTCTTTTGGATTGAAATTTGTTTGTCTGGTATAGTCTGGTCTGATATGGTCTGATCTATTTTAGTCTGATATGATCTGGTCTGGTCTTGCCTGAACTGGTTTGATCTGGTCTAGTCTTGTAAATGTCTGATATCCGTGTATTTTATAATTGTCCAAGTCTGGTCTGATATAGTTTGTTTAAGTCTGATCTAGTCTGATCTATTTAAGTCTGATCTGATATGGTCTGTTTATATCTGATTCGGTCTGGTCTAATATAGTCTGGCCCAATTCTGGGATTCGTCCAAAGGAAAACGTCTTCAAAAAATCTATGCTTTAAAGGTGTTTGGAGCATTAAACCTGAAGGTAAAATGCGGAGACGCGGAGTAATAAGTACTCCATCCGTCTCACAAAATAGTTCCCGGTTTCCGTTTTGGGTCGTCCCAAAAAATAGTTCTTATTTCCCCTTTTGAAAAGTTTTGTGTGGCTCACCTTCATTTACATTTTTTTTAATCAACCACAACCATACATTTCTACTTTATTCTCACTTTCTTAAACTACGATTCACGTCAATGCGAGAACTATTTTTATGAGATGGTGGGAGTAATTCAATACTACGTACCCCCTCCGTCCCACTAGAAGGTTCCCGTTGACGGTTTACGATGTTTGACCGACGATAAAGCAACTTAATCCCTTATCACACTCTGATTATTTTTAGTAAATAAAATTTACATATTCAGAAACTACATTAAATACGCTACAAAGCCTGATAAAAGAAAAGTAAATTTGATAAAAAAAATTGATATATAAAGTAAAGGAAAAATTGATAAGAATAATCATACCTTTCACTGGTATTCTCATAATAATCCCACCTTTACATAATTCAGGAATAATCCCACCTTTGTACCTCATCTTATTTCATTGGACCCTGACCTATTGATGACCTACATTAGTGGGATTATTTATATAAGATTTTCAAAAAGATGGTCCAATGAAAGAAGATGGGGTGCAAAGGTGGGATTATTATGAGAAAACCAGTGAAAGATGAGATTATTCTTATCAATTTTTCGTAAAGTAAAAAGTTAAAAATGATTTAAGTTTCATTTGAATAATGGACGAGAACCTTCTAATGGGAAGGCCGGTATTGACTTATACGCATACCTTATGTGCATTAGTTATAGACTTATAGGCATACCTTAAGATACGTGTTGACTGCCTGGTAAAGCTCATCATGAAGTGGTCGGGCAATATCTGGAACAGCAGAAGCCAGAGACACCAATTGCTCAACTGCCATTTTAGGATCATCCCTAGCCACAACTTGAACATAAGAGTCCACCAGCTTTCCCACCTTCCTCATCGCCGATTCCTTCTCTTCACCCGCCGCCTGCCTCTTCCATTGCCTCAGGAAACTCTCCAAAACAACCCCGACCAATTCAACATCAAAGCCGCTTCCAGTTTCATCACCAGCCTGAGATGGCGGCAGCAGCAAGTCATTCACCCTCGCCTCGTGCAACCTCTCCCCCGATCGCCTTATCAGCTCTGCTTTCGTCACCATAGATGCTCCTAAGTAATTTGCCGCGCTAAGCAGCTTCAGTAAGAATCTAATTGAAACAGAGTCTCCATCGATAGGGATCATACTCACAATTGTCTCTAGAATACTCCGCTTCCTCTCGATCCCTTCGACTGAGGACAATTTCGCCTTTTTGGTGTTTGGTAGCCACCGGCCGGCGTAGACATGTAAGGCCTCGCCGATGAGCTGAGGCGACAGAGATCCGGTTGATCTAACGGTTGTGACTATACATCGGAAGAGATCTATCCCAAGCACGGCCAAATCCTCCGTCCACCAATCTCTCGGCGCCGATTTCGCTTGCTTTTTATCGAATCCATGGCGACTGCAAGTGTATGACCACCTGACCTTCGCCGGAGGGGTTAAGATCTTCTCAACGATCGAATCTATACACTTCCGGGTCACGCCGACATTGTCGGCCCAATCGGCTAACTTCTCCGTCGTCTGGAGCGCCAGAATCGAGTCCTTCCAGCCTCCCAATACGCATGAAGATAAAAATGCCTCGAGTTTGACCGCCAAATTCCCCTTCTCGAAGGACTCCGTCATTCGAAGGAACTTCGCGGCACAGAAAACGGGGACGAAGTTATGTGCGCTGACGTTAATGGTCATCCCGTAACAGAATTTCGCGCATATCTCGAATGCCTCTTCTCCCCCTGGAGTATCATGCAGTTCGAGGGTAACATTGTCCGAATCTTCTGTGTTTGATATGAGTCGTTGCAGGAGTCCACACTTTTGCAGAAGTGGATACTACAATGAAATGAAATTGTTAGAATCCATCAATCCAATCTCAAAATATTAAAGAATTGGAAAAGAATTTTTGAAACAATGACCAATATATGATTAAGGCTTCCAATTGGAGGATTAAAGGAAGTTTAGACCCCTTTGGATGACTTTGTTTTCGGTTGATTAAAGTTTATCAATTAACTTTTTCTCCAAAAATGTAACTTTTGATTCCACGCATTAAATTGTGTAATAATAAGAAAAAGTAAGGCTGAATTTCCTTTTCTTGTTGTATTGGCTGAAGTTATTGTATTAGAATCAACTAATACAGCCGATTTTGATATTACCAAACAGTTTTTTAGTCTTGTATCAAATCTAACTATAACTATATTTTCATCTTTCTTGTACCAAATCTAACTATATTTTCATCTTTATAGAAGGATCAAAGAAGACATACCTTGTGAAGAAGATAGGTTATGTTGTTGATTTTGATAGTAAGATCACTTGGCATATCTGAACTTATAACCCTGTGTTATTTCGGGAACCATAATTAAGTTTAGTTCACTTTATATGGAACTCTTATTATGTATCATACACAAATAATCAGGTACGCTACTATATATGGACATACCTTGTACCATCTTCGGTGTAGAAGGTATCTGGTCTTGCTCCTATCTTCATAAACTTCATCGTCCCGATATGATTGAAATTGATGTTTATTTCTTATGTCATAAACTATTTGACACTGTCCAATTTAAACATCACCTCTCAGTTCTTTATGTTGTATGCCTGCAAAGTGCAAACTATTCAAGTGTTCATCAACTTATAAAAGCCCTCAACAGGTTTGGCATGCTCACTAATGAAAGTGACTTTAATGCCTGATACATGGGAATGGATAAAATAGAATTTCTACTTTTGGAGTTTAGATGATATCATAATACGAAGTATATACTACATATGTATGTCCCATTAAAAAGTTTCCCGTCCACTATTCACATGGTCAACTTAAATTATTTTTATTCTTTTACTTTATATATCAAATTTTTATCAAATTTAATTTGTATTTTTTTATCAAGCTTTGTAGCGGTTTTAATGTAGTTAATGAATATGTAAATTTTTTTTATTAAAAATAATCAGAGTGTGAACATGAATTACGTTGTTTTATCGTCAGTCAAGCATCGTAAACCGTCAACGGGAACCTTCCAGCGTGACGGAGGGAGTACTTCGTATAATGAGTGGGAAATAAGGAACGGGAATTGAAGTCAATGGGCATGTTTGGCATTCAGCGGTTAGCGGATAGCGGGATATGTTAGCGGCTTATTAGTAGCGGATTCGGTCAGCGGGTTTTACTAGAGGAATAAATTGACGGGTTGTCAAAAGATGTTTGGTAATTTAGCTGTTTGGCCATAAAAATTAGTAGAAAACGTCATTTTTCAAAACGTCAACTCAAAACTCTCTTATTAGCAGTGTTTTCATTTTGGCGTTTTCGTCCAAAAACGCTGGTGCTGAACACCTATTTACCAAACAACATTTTCACTTATTTAAAACGCTAAAAGTGGTCAAACCGCTATTTTCGGCACAAACGCCGTTTACCAAATATCTGAGGGAAAGGGGTGAATTATGGGGTATAAACTTTGGAAAATGACTAGCGAGACTAAAACATAAATTGAAAAACGAATAACATGACTAAAACAAAGACTGGATTATGCGGTAGTAAATTTTTTATGTGCATTGATTTTACTAAGCAATAATCATGACAGTAAAATTGTAGTAATCACAGTCACATCTTTGTTTAGAATTGCAAATTAAAATTTAACAAAACAAAACAATCACTTTACATATCTAAAATATAGATACATTATTTGATTAGATATGTGGTTTTTTTTTAAATCGTGTGGAAAGTCATTGAAGTGTTTTATAAAAAAGTAAAAAACATATAAAACATTTTGCTACCCTCCACTCACAATCACCCACCAGCACCAATCGGGAGATTTATTTGTGACCTCGCTCTAATACTACTTGTAAAATAGATTTATCCCTTTTTACAATATTTGGGATTTCCTGCTCCTGACTCGCCTAACTATAGAGTTCTCTAGTTAAATACTAGTAGCAGTCATATTCTTCTTAAAACCAATTGTTAATAAGGAGGTGGATACGTTCTATTTCACACATTTCTCTGTAGTGACAAATCAAGGTAGATTCATGTGGGTACCCCACGATTCACTACGATTGTGCGTGCAGAGCCCCACTGATGAGTTGTGAATGAACATGAGAGTCTACACCACATCGTGGTGCCAACAGATCGGACTTAATCAAAGATTATACCTTGAAGTTTTCATGTAACAAACATTTGATGAAAATCCCTTAAAGTTTTCATGTAAAAAAACTAATCTACATTATTATGGAATCAACTCTCACCAAATCAATGAGGAAGTGATATAAAGCTATCGTCTGCCAAAATCATGACATACATTTGAGAAAGTTTAAGACGACTATTGCACTCAATATGAGAGTTAAACGTGTGCAAACACCAAGAATAACGATTGCGGGTTCCACCATTGTCATAAAAAATAGGCTAAAGGGTCAAATAGGCCCTTGAACTAGCTTAAAGTGTTCAATTAGCCCCTTATATAGGAGGTTCAGTCCGACCATCGCTAATTGGGGAGGTTCCCGGTGGGATTTTTTGATGAAATTTTTTGAGCATCTCTTTCATTAAGTCTAGTTTACCCATATAAAATTTCAGCTAAAAATTAAATCGGGAAGACAGTCAAATGATTTTCCGAAATGTACTGCGCAGTTTAACTGCACAGTTATCTTCAATAAATCATTTGACTGCCTTCCTGGTTGAATTTTTAGCTGAAATTTGGTATGAGTAAACTAGACTTAATGAAGAAGATGCTAAAAAAACTTTCATAAAAAAATTATACCTGGAACCTCCCCAATTGGAGACGGTCGGGCAGAACCTCCTATATAAGGGGCTAATTGAACATTTTAAGCTAGTTCAAGGGCCTATTTGACCCTTTAGCCTAAAAAATAAGTTCAAGAATATAGATCTAAGGAATAAGGAATCACTGTAATACCTTTATAACTTTGTGACAGCAAATATACGTACACCTCAACGTTGCCACAATTAAACCCACAAAGTGTAAACTTAGAATAAGTATAATCTTCAGTTATATTTCAGAGATTTGAAGACTTATGAGTTATGAGGGGTTTAGTTCGTTGCTAAAGTCACAGTTAGGTTAGTAAAACAGGTGAAGTAAATACGCAAGCTGCTTAAAAAGTTGCTTACTAATCGAAGATTAAAGTGCCGTTTGTTGGAAAAATGTGTTAACATTGCATTAAATGGTAATTTTGGGGCAATTTTTGAGTGGGGTCCACTTCTGATTTGAGTCGGGTCAAAGTAGTTTCGGATTGTCCTTGCTAAGGGCTGCAATTCGACATATGGTACGCTCAAAACGGATAACGGGTGAATGAGAAATTGGTTCTCGAAGTGTACCCGTTAGAATAGAAAAACTGGGAAAAAATGATAAGTTTCTAGTGTGTTATTTTCCACACCGGAAAACCCAAGGGAATTTGAACCCTTTATAAAGGGAAACCCCCCTTAAGGAGTTAAGATTCCTTAGGGTAAAGGCTCTCTCTACACGCGCAGGGGGTGCAAATCAAATCCCGAAATCGGAGAAGAAAAACCGCGACTTGCGGGCGACTTGCGGACACGAATATCGTCCATAAATCACCATTTATGTTACTTGGACAGTTCATGGACGATTCAATGCCCAACGGACTGGTCATTGATGTCCAACGTTAAGGTGGTTTACAACAACACACGCTAATACACATTCCTCACATATTTCTCCGCTCTAAAACACCTCTCGTTCGCTGGAACTTTATTTGTGTGCTCAAACATTAGTACGTAGTCATCGAATTCTGGAAAACTATTGTTGCAACGCTCCTAGCACCGTGGAAGGCAACAAATACGTTTTAATGACATCGTGCCGAGCTTTGACTAAATTCTGCTCCATCTCATTTCTTGTTTTTCTTTAGTCATTTTAATTAATTTATTTTAATTAATTTTCTTTATTTTCCGAAACACACCCAACACCACTTACTAAGCATACCACCCCCCATGTATTAATTAAGTGGTACCTTAAACTTTTTGAGTTTCCAAATTTACCCTTACAGTTACTCCTTGCCTTTACCCTATTGTTACTCTTATACCCGCTACCCTCTCCACCCACAGCCCCTACCTTACATCCTACCCCCTTACCCCTATCCTCCTCCCGACCATACCCTTTACCCTGCCCCTACCTTGACCCCAACCCACCCCCAACTCATCTACCTCCATCCTTACCCTGACCCTACCCCTTTGCCCCTACCACCTGCCCCCTACCTTGACCCCACCTATTACCCCCAACCTTACCCCTACCTTACCTCATAACTGTTTACCCCACCCCCACCCCACTAGTACCCCCTTTACCCTACCCCGATCCTACCCATGTACCCATTTTACCCCTACCACCAACCCCCACCCTGACATCGACCCGACCCCAAACCATACCCCCACCCTCACACCCCCTTACCTACTTTGATCCTACCCCTTTATCCCCTACCTCGACCTCACCCCGATCACGACCCATCCCTACCCACCCCCACCCTACCCGTTTACCCCCCTACCACCTGTAGCTACCTCGACCCCACCCCTACCCCCTAGCTCTTATGACCCCACCCCTTTACCCCATGTCATGGTAAGGGTAGGGGTAGGGGTCGAGGAATTGGGGTAGGGTGCAGGGGTAGGGGTGGGGTACGAGGTACAGGGCGGGTAGGGAGTTAGGGGTATGGGGTAACCCGTGCGAGGTTACCCCCACATACCCACATATTATATTATATACTTGTATTCATGAATCTTTGTGTGTCTGTATATGTATAAGGTTATTTTAGACATTTTAATGTTAAACGGTGTTTTAAATCATTTGAAGTAAACATGAGTTTACAACACTGCTTATTTTATGCACCGCTTGGTAACGCGAGTCTTAATAAGCACCGTTTAATAACCCGTGAAGTAAACGTGTCCTTAGCTCCTTAGCTCAACAAATAGACATCAAGGGCTCAAGGCTCTACATGTTTTCTAGTAGTTTAATAAATCATTCAGGGATATAAATTGAGGGATATTTTTATTTTGTGGGATATAATTCAAGTGCACATATATATATGTTTCTTCTCCTATAAATTTAACTAATGGAAGCATTAAGAACTACCATACTCCAGGCGGCGTGTTCCGATTGTATTATTTGGGATGATTTTCCTTCTAGTTTTATTTCACATGTACTCAAACTAGTCCACTTATTTTACCTATTTTGAATATTCAATTGGTAAATGATACTCCGTGCTACAGATGTAAAGGTGGACTTTGAAGGTGGAGGCTATGTTATACGGAGTAGATGATTTCGAGTGGCAAACATAATAATCATCAAATGTAAAAATATAGATCAGTGGGGCTAGTTATTGCTCTCTCAATCACAGTCAAGAAATGAACACGAAACTACTAGAATCCACTATTTCATTGATATCATCGTATATAAGGGCCATAGGGCAGTTAAATTATCGGTTCTAAGAGAAGGAACTTAGTGGGAAGAAACTACATTTCATGTTTTAATTCTAAAATGTTACCTTTGTAGAATAAGTTTGATTTAGGGGTGGGCGCGGTCCGATTCGGTCCAATATTTGGCCGAACTCGTACTCATACCGTTAATATTCAAACGGTTCGGTTCGGTCCTAGACCTAAACTCATTCGGTACGGTTCCATTTTCAAACGGAACGGTATCATGTCATACCAATACCAAACAATGCCACTTTTTTCAAGTGTTTAAGGGAAAATTAAAGTTTAACTATTCTTAAAAATTTCACGCA